ACAACGAACGTGTATTGAGTTCAAATTAGGGATAAATAAAGTAATACACTGAATTTTAAAGATGTTTACACATTCAGTCGCTTAGCAGACGCTAAACAATATCGGATACGTACACTCTTTCAATATGCATTAAACATCCGAGCAATACGACCACAATCCAAATTGCAATCGATCGAAATTTGTATTGGCTGCTGATTTAGATTAGATTTGTTATCATTCACACTGCATTCGCAATAGAACGAGCTCTCGTTGCGCGAGCACAACCTCAAACCATTTTGTCATAAATATTTTGTCACTCAATCGAAAAAGAATTGAACGAAGGAAAGAAAAAGAGAGAAAAAACCATTGACTCTGAGTGCTACGATAAAATATGAGCATTTCATTTCGCATCCAATTATAAAAACCGAAAAGAATTCAATAAAAATGGAGATAAATTACACCCAGATAATGAAGACGTGTCAATTTCGTCAACAACTCCACTCCATTCGACTGCCTTTTTCGTTCGTTTTTCAATTCACTGCCTGCAATTGTCGATTGATTTTGCAGCAGGTACTTGATCTATTGGATCAAAATTGAATTGATTCATCATGTCGCAAATTAAATGTGATATATACTACTTTTTTTTGCTTCTATAATGCATTAATCGTAATTCAATTGACAGTTTGTTGACTTTTCTGTGTAACGCTGTGCTCTATTACAAATTGTCAAATTATTCGCATAAGTTTATGATGAATTCGCTCGACTAGCAGTGGCAAAAAGTTCAAACTTAGTTTTGTTTTGCTCATTAAAAGTGGCTGCAATGCCTTGATGTGATTAATTTAATGTCATCGCCGCAGTTATTTTCACACACAGACATTTGATTTGAAATTCCATTCGAGAAAATTCTCTGCAGTCTGCCTATTTTTTATCTCGTGCTGCCATGAATTCATATTGAAGATTTAATTGAAATTTTTTCGCTCTCTCTACCATTCTGCACTAATGAAAATCAAGACAGCAAACATTTTCGACGCGTTTCGAATATAGATTATTTCATCAATCTGGCACATTGTGCCATTGGTGCCGTATTAAGACACACAAGTGTATTATAAAAATTGTTTACCGTTTGCGCTTATGTAATTGAAATGAATCTGTAGCATTGTACGGCATTGCTGGCTTTAATGAATTTCGAAACATTTTTGTAGTATCGTCTCTATTCATGCACCCGACGTGGAATGATTCGTTAGGTGTAAATGAGCAAACCGAATGCTTTGGCGTTAAAATGAGTGAACGGTTCTTTCGGGCTGTGAAATTATATTTTCAAAGTCATTTTCGGGGCCCCGAAACAATATTCACAGTGAATCAGAGATCAGAGCTGCGAGTATTTCGCAAAGATTTGCGCATTTGATTGTTTTGGGGTTGAATTTTTCATGGTGTTTATGCAGTTGTTCTAATCAACACACGATACGTTTCTTCAATTAGTCAAGTTGCGGATTGGCTTGTGCGTGTGTGTGTGTGTGCGCGCGTGGATTTCATTTCGTCTCGTCTCGCCAAGATGACGACGACGATGGCGACGCACAACGAAAACGAAATGATGAAAAGTGCTTTCGGCATAAATGACTTCGTCAAACATTTTAACCAGATCAGTCAGAGCAACATATTGGCATTCAGGCAGAATACAATCACAAAAACAGAGATAACAAATAGACACATGAGACTGTTTTCAACAAGGATTCATCGTAAATGTTCACAAACTCATTTTCAGCAGCACTGAACGGTAAGTATTAGAGGAATTTATTTACCGTTCCGAATGTAACAGCATGAATACAACCCATACACTATTTTTACCACTATTAAACGCAATGATGATGTGCACATCTCAAAACTTGAAATGCTCACGTTTCTTATTTATATACATAAAAGCAACGGATTTCGGTTGGATAAAACAAGTCGTTGAAAGAAAATCCGGTAGCCGCCATTGTCAGTAAATAAAAAGCGAAACCCACACACACATGTTCTCACTCTCTTCATTTATCTGCTTCTTCAAGATGAATGTAACATACACAAGGGATGAACAATGAAACTGGACACGAGAAAAAATAAAATCCAAGCCTCACTGAAATCAAACCATTTCACCAGAGAGAGAGAGAGAGAGAGAGAGAGAGAGAGAGAGAGAGAGAGAGA